CAAGGGGCCAATCCTGTGACTGAAGGGTGATGGGGGTCAATGCCTGAGGGCTCCCAGTATGTGAGAGGGGGCAGGCTGGGCTGAGGGACACTCCCCCCGCCCCCCCCCCACACCCCGTGCACGAATTTCGTGCACCGGGCCCCTAGTAACCATTATAACCACCTTGGGGCTAGGAACCATCTTGATTCTTTCTGTATCACTCAGAGTACAGTGTCTGGTGCATGTTGTCTCATTGAATAAATAAGTGGGTAGTAGAAAAAAAATCCTTTGAAAACCCAAATGACTTTATACATTATAACCACCTTGAGGCTAGGAACCATCTTGATTCTTTCTGTATCACTCAGAGTACAGTGTCTGGTGCATGTTGTCTCATTGAATAAATAAGTGGGTAGTAGAAAAAAAATCCTTTGAAAACCCAAATGACTTTATATGAAAGTGAAAGAGGGTAATGTTAGCCAGATCTGGGGTATTAGGATCTGGAAGATTAATTCCCAGTGGAAAATATTCAGGAATGAAAATGAATAGCTAAGTAAACTGAATGGGTGCAATTCAGAACACAGGAATAAGTAAGTATTCTAGGTCCATGGTGAGTCACTCAAGACCACACAGGAGGCGCCTTTTTGGTTGCTCCCAAGTAGGAATTCAGACATACAGAGAAAGAAACAGACTTAAAAACCACTCTCTTCTGATGTGGGTGACAGGAGCCTGAGGGACACCTAGTCTGGCAGAGTGAAATGCCAGGGCCAAGAGGGTGTGGTAGTAAGACTGTCTGGAGGCAGGGCAGGTCTCCACCTTGATGGTGTCCAGGGCGAGGTCAAGGACAGCACACTGCTTTGGAGTGAGACTCCGTGTTTCCTCTCGCACCATGTGGTCCTGGAACCACAGAGAAAGCAACAGCATCAGGTCAGCTTTGGGCTGTCGTGAAAATCTTGCCCTTACCTGCCAACCCACAGCTTCATGGCACTCTCCTTTCCCTCCTCTTCAGTCTCCAATGCTTAAATTTCCTTCCTTCCTTCCAGGCAATCCCCTCCCCCCACCAGCCTCAGAAGGACTCCACATGTCTAGAGCAGCGGTCGCCAACCCTTTGCACCCTACGGACCACCAGTGGTCCGCGGACCACCGGCTGGCGACTGCTGATCTAGAGTACCTTGAGTTTGGAAAGATGGCTCAGCTCCTTGGCAGCAGTGAAGATCAGCTGAGTGCCCTGGGCAGAGAGGGAATCAGTCAAAAGCCGAAGACTCCAAACTTGAGCAGGAAGCGTGGAGCGAGGCAAGGGAGACAGCAGAAGGAAGTTGAAGGGAAGTGTCCTTACCGTGTGGTCAGTGAGTGGGGGCAGAACAATCATCCTTTCCATTGTGTTCAATACCACCCGCCAGAGCTCCTTCAGCACACGCTTCAGGACCGTCTTCTCACACACAGTGGCAAAGAGGGTGAGGCTGCAGGCCCAGGCAACAGGTAAGGCTGGGTGGGTGAATGAGAATCCCCCTCCCCAAGAGGCTCCTCTGCCTTGCTTGTCCCAGAGGACAGTCCTGAGTACTGTACTCACTTGCCATCCAGGAAGTCCATGAGAGGTCGGAGCACGCTATCTGCATCCTGAGCCACTGAGGCCCTGGCGTTGGGGGATGCGTTCCCTGGGCCCCGCACCTGGCTCAGGATGTCGGCCATTTGTTTAATGCAATCATCGATCCGCACCTGGAAACTACACATGTGCCCATAGTGCAACCCTCTCCTTCCCAAACACACACATTGGCCCTGGAGTAGCACCAGCTATTTGATCCTACTCCAGAACACTCGTGGCACAGCTTCCAACAGGGAGAGCCAATAGGACGAGACAGAAGATCCACACACCTGCAGCTGGCTGGATGGGTGTGGGGCAGGAGCTTTGAGATTCATCAGGAACCACATCTGGCTCTGAGGACTGTGTGTTTTGGGGCCACTGACCTGTTTCCAAACACCATGCTGAGCTCATCCAGAACTGTATTCAGTTTCACCTGCAGCTCCTTCAGACTGTCGGCAGCTTCAGGATCCAACTATATCCACAGGAGGTGGGCTTGGCTAAGCTGGTTCAATTTCCCTTGTCTCCCATCCTGTGTCCCGACTCCTCCCTCCGTGGGCCTTTACCCCAATGCCTTCTCCAATCTCTCAGCCCAAGCCTGCCCAGACCCCAAGCTAAACTCCTGGCCTACACCCAGTCAAGAAAGTATAGAGTTCTGTGGTCAAAAGGCTAAAGAACAAAGGGAAAGGACAGCAACCCTAACCCCTAAAGACCTACCTCCTTGCCTCCCATGGCCTCAAACATTTTCTCCAGCTGGACCCTCAGTTGCTGCATGTTGTTCATCAGGATGCAGGGCTTTGGGGACAGATGGAGCTGCTAAGTCTTGGCTTCTGTTAGCACAGGACCCATCAGCCTAGGGTTCCTCCCTTTCTCACACTACTCCAAAAGCCACAGGGAAATTACAACAGGTTTTACATGTGTCTCTCCCTAAGAGATCTGGAACCAATTCAGACAATTCTCTATGAATAAAGACTAGAGCAAATGTTTCTGTTTTTAAGCTGGGTGGTGGGCCCCAGGTGTTCATGGTGTTATCCTTTAAAACACTTTGACTAGCTCAACTTTTTTTTTTTACACTATTAAAAAAGAGACTAAGCAAAAGTCTAGCTTAGTAGAGGCTAAAGAACCAAATGGAAGCTCAGATGAACTCCTAGTCAAGTTCTTATTCTGTGGCACAATATCAAGCGAAGCCCTGCTGGGAATCAGAAGTCAGGAGCATCACTCCACCCTCAGCTCTAAGAATAGCTTCAAAAGGAAGGATTCAAGTAGCTTCCATTCTCTTCTTCAAGGGTCCCAGGGCCGGATCCTCACCATTTTCTCTTTTGTGCAATAAGCTGGGAAGTTCTTTGATAAGATGTCTGCATACTGCATCAGCACCTTCCTGATGGTCTGAGAAAAGAAAAAAGGAAAGAAGGAAACCTTAGCTTTTCCCACAAGGATCTTGCCTGAGAGGTCACACCTCTCATCCTAGAACAATACAACATAGAGGTAAAGTAGAATCTCACAGAAAGAACAAAGCTCCCTCTCAACCCCAGAACAGCACTGAGACAAACCCATCTATTCACCCTAGTCACAAACAAAGGATATTGGGGTAACCCAGGTTTCACCTCAAGGCCACCACAAAGAAGGGTTGAGCTCAGGCCTGTGACTAGGCTGTGAGTGGTGGTAGTAAGGGGAGAGGGAAGGGAGGGTCATGGTCACCTTAGCAAATCTCCTCATGTAGTGGGCAAGGATGTTGGGGTCTGGGCATTCCAGCTTTCGGATGATCTCAAAGCTCTGGTTGAGCTGTGTGAAGACGTCCACCACAGAGCAGGAAAAGAGTGCGTGCTCTGATGTCTGCTGGAACTAAGGAAGGCCACATACAAGGTCAGCATCTTCAGCCACTACTTTTCTCCAAGTTCATAGGGTTCAAAAGGGCTCTTCCCAGTAGGGGTGGCTCAGTGGCCCTCAACCACCCTCCTTATGGACTCCTCAGGGCAGGAACAGCCAATCTATCTAAAGCCCAGGAACATTTGCTGACAGCTAATTGCTGGCCTCAACCCTGTGCAGCCCAAGCCCCTGACTTACCCCATCCTTCTTATCTCGTTCCAGGGCCCCATGTAGGAATTCCAGGGATACATCCTCATTCTCATCCAGCCATTGTAGGACAAACTGCTCAAACCACCTGCAGCCAGGAAAGATAATTGGGGCCTGGAGCTAGTTGTTGGCATATGCCATATGCCTGACAGCTCCCCCAGACTGGGATCTTCTGGAAAGTAGGACATGGTTTGACACTTTTCTCTTTCTATGGCAGTGCTCAGAACAGGTCTCAAGACTGGCTTATCAAACCAAATTGAGGATACTCGCCCCACCCCTACGCTAAGCCAGAGGGTCCCTCTTCCCATCCCTCCATAGTGCCCACTTGATGACTCACGCTGGGTACTCAGGTACCTGCCCCTGGAGGGCAGGCAGATCCCGCACATATTCATTGTGGAGCCACTTCACCTTGAAGTGCAGGTTCATGTAGTCAGCACTCTTACACAGCCGGTCTTTCTCATGCTCTAGCGACAGGGAAGAAAGCTGGGTCAGGTCCTGGCAGTAGAGGCCCTGAGTTTTCTCAAAGCAGCTGATCCAGTTAGGCAGCTCCTCCCAACCACCTCCTCATAGCCATGTTCCCCCTACCAGGAGTGCTCTGTTCTCTAAGAGCCTGGCTCACTGGATAAAGTGTCGGCCTGTGGACCAAAGGGTTCTGGGTTCGATTCCAGTCAAGGGCATGTACCTTGGTTGCAGGCTCCTCCCCAGCTCGCACCCTGGTCAGGGTGCATGCAGGTGGCAACCAATTAATGTGTTTCTCTGACATTGATATTTCTCTCTGTCTTTCCCTCTCTCTTCCACTCTCTCTAAAAAAACAAAAACAAAAAATCAATGGAAAAATATCCTCGGGTGAGGATTAAAAAAAAAAATGCAGAGATGAGCAGCTGTCCATGACATGAACAGGTCACTGACAACACACAGAGACAGGGAAAACCAAAGTGAACCCAAGCTAACAGAAACTGCATTGAGCAGCCATGGTGCAACAGAATCTTGATATAAACCGAAGGGTCCAAGAGCATAGCTGAGACCCTGAGAAATGAACTCCCAAAGAAGTTTGCAAATAAAAATAATAAGTTTGGAAACCATGGATAAACAGCCAGATAAGAGGCTCATCATGTTACAGAAAATGAGATGCTCATTCTGGACTTGAAAGGGTCCATAATTTCCAGCTGAATCTCCAAAGCCTTCTGGAAAATCTAGGACAAAGAGCACTCATAGCTTGCCCAGAGTCTGGAGCACTGGCGGTAATCACAGGTTCTCGTCATCTACCCCCTTTATAGAAGAGCTTTCAAGGAAAGCCAGGCCAGGCAGCCCCCAGTGTGAGAAAAGAACCCTATTTATGTATTTAAGGGTCTATGATTCATTAACACTGTAAAGATAAATTTCGTAAGACTCCTCTCCAGGAAGTGAGCCACTTGTGAACACCCAGATGGGAGGAGCTGATTCCGGGGCTGGGAAAGTCTTAGGCAGGCACTTGTTCTCAAGCTGAAGGAATGAACCTATAGCCATTTACATTATTCATTTGGCTGAAGCTTTGTCTACCCAAAACCTCCTGAGGCCTATCACTCACTATGCCCGAATCCCTCTATTTCTCACTGTGCCATTCACCCTGAACTTGCAGTTGCTGGGAGAGGAAAGAGAAAGCAAACCAGGTGCTTGGACAAGGGGCCTGCAGCCCACTGCCTTGGGCACACCCTTACCCTCCAGTGCATATTTCATGTCTTGGGCAAAAAGTTGCCACATCACTTCTGCGCTGACTTTTCCCACATTCAGCTCCTGAGGAAACCTGGATGATGGAAGAAGCCTCAGTCAGAAAACAAAGCAAGAACTATTTGGTTTTATTGATTTCAAGGCTAATGTGCCCAGTTCTCAGAGGTCATATTGAAGAGAGGAGAAGCCTAGGAAACAGGGGTAGACTCACTCTGGAAAAAGGGAGTTCGAGGTCAGTGCTAGGACAAGTGGGGGCAGAGAATTCCCTCAGGCAAAATGGGCCCAGGGAAAGGATGCCCAAAAGGCAAGGAAGTAAGACCCAGAAGAGAAGGTTTGGGCTGGAAGGTAGGCCCAAGCTAAATAAGGAGGAGGAGGGGTAAGAGGTGGGCTATGAGGTGGCCCACTTTATTCAGAGCAGACAGACACATACACACATGGTCTCTGGATCCCCTGGGACTCCTATTCCCAGAGGACTCTCACTCCAGGGAGGCTGGTGCAGTCTGGGCAGGGCCCCCCATTATGTTTCCACACCTGTCTCCAGAAACAGCTACCCAGACAGATACAAGGGACAGAGGGACAGACGGACGGACAGGAAGAAGAGGTGGCACTGCAAACATACAGAGATAGGAAAGAAAGAGGCTGTTAGACAGATGGACAAACCAACTACCAACCAGACAGGGCCAAGTAGGGTGATACTCACTGGTTCAGAACAAGTGTGTAGGAATTCTTATCTTCCTCTATGATTGACACAATGAGTGTGATAAGTTTGGGCCAGAAATCCAGGTTCCGAATGCTGGGCCCTTGTTCCTCGGCAGGTAGTTCCTGCTTCTTGTTCCAGAAGAGATAGTTACAGAGTCAGAGTAGAATGTAAAGAGTGTCTCTAATCTTCCTCTTTCTTTCCCCTTTCCAAGCTTCTTCCTCTAGAATCAAATACCCTTCCTAGAGTCTGTCTTCCACAGGACTGCCCCTGATATGTCAGAGGTGACTACTGGGCGGTCCTTGGACACAAAGAGTTCATCCCTGTCCCCACTTCCTCAGAAGCTATGGTATTGTGACTCTTTGACCAAAGTAAGCAGTCCCTCCAGTCTCACTAAGTAGGTCTAGTTGCATGTGACCCACACTAGCAGCCCTCCTCTGAAACCCAGCCCCCACCCCACCACATACATGCACATCTCAGCTCTGAGAAGCTACTTCAAGTTTTGCAGGAGCTACTGAACAGACCTAGCATGCAGGTTGGCCTAACCGCCAATGGGTTAGGACTTCCCTTAACCCCTGGAATGTCCTTATGAGGAAGAACTGCATCTAGGAAGCTACTTGCCTAGCTGAATAAGAAAAGGCCTTGGGAAGCCAAGAATACCCAATGGGGAAAAGATAGTCTCCTTAATAAACGGTGTTGGGAAAACTGGATATTCACATGCAAAAGAATGAAATTGGATCCCTATCTTATACCACTCACAAAAATTAACTCGAAATGAGAAAAAAATACTATTTAAGAAATCAAAAAAAATATACAAAGTCACCAGGCACTAAGTTAGGATGCCAGCATAAAATAGGCGAAATAGGGCAGCCTTTCAGAGGACATGTCCAGCTGTGATATTCAGCTGACCAATATAGCTCAGAAGACAATGCAGTGCAGAGAGAAGTGGTCAAAGGAAAAGTTAAATTTCTATTAGCCAGTAGCTCAGAGAGACAGCTGTAGATCTTAAAGGAAGGAGACTGAAACATAGAAGGATCCATGAGTCAGAATAAAATTAATCTTGGGGGAGAAAAAACGACTCTGGGATGGACTACAAATTTACCCTCTGAAACTGCTCAAATTTTACTCATTTTGTTAAACTAAAACTTACTGTTCCCACTGTTGTTCAACTGGTCCCTGTCCATCCACAAATGTCTCGCATGGTTTAGATCAGTGGGTTCTCAACCTTCTGGCCCTTTGAATACAGTTCCTCATGTTGTGACCCAACCATAAAATTATTTTCGTTGCTACTTCATAACTGTAATGTTGCTACTGTTACGAATGGTAATGTAAATATCTGATATGCAAGATGGTCTTAGGCGACCCCTGTGAAAGGGTCGTTCGACCACCAAAGGGGTCGCAACCCACAGGTTGAGAACCGCTGGTCTAGATGGTTCAAATCCTACAAAACTCACTCACCCTCAAGAACATTGGGACTTTGTCCTGAACTGCCTTCTACCATGACCACCGCAAAGGAAAGCTGAGGCTCCAAGAGCCACTGACAGCTGGTCCCACCTGATCCTGAACCTCTTACCAGCTGATACTGGTGGCTGTACAAGTCATGGCAGTTGTTGAAGATATACTCATATGTGGAGTTCAAACAGGCCTTCACACAATCCTTTACCACCTGGCTGGCTCTTGGAGGGCTCTGCAGTTCTTGCACCTGCCAGTTAAGAAAAGGAATATGGGCCCAGGGTTGTGCTCACTTGGGTGGGGATCTTTCCTAGAACTACCTCTAAACTAGTCCAGATTCCTTCATCCCTCCATGGGTTGAAGGAATTTAAATTGCCAAGATATCTGATGGGGAGACTGCCAAGCCCATCCTTATTGATCCATTGTGTTCATCAAAGTAACTCAGGGAACAAATGTATGGAAATGTGGGCTTAGAGGAGATGATTCCTGTAGCTTCACAATGTGCCAAATTATTTTTATTTTCCACACCCCTGTGGCCAGGTCCCCAGACCAATTCATCTCTTACCTTCATCCTGAAGAAAGTGATGCTGGTCAGCAAATCCACTGTGGACTTTAAGTCTTGAAGCCGCTCAGGACTCCCAGCAGGGAAATTATTCTGTTGTAAATCAAGCAAATGCAAGAAAGGAATAGAGAAATATGAAAGCCTTCCCTTCCAGAAGTAATGAAATAAAAAACTTCCCTAACTGCTACCCACTGGAATTTTTCCTAGTTGAGATGGACAAAAAAGCTGTAATACTGAGATAGACAGGCCTTTGCCAAAAGCAAGGGCTAATAATCCCCAGCCCAGAAAGCAATGCTTCCTCCCCGCAACCCTACTTCCCATGCAATGTGTGTGCATTTGCACAAATTCACACACACACACACACACACACATACACACACACACACTTTTCTTGGGTGAAGATTCTTACACCCAGTGAGTTCTTCAAAAGTTACACTCTAACTGTATATCCTGGAATATAAGTGTAGCCACACTCCAGACCAAGACCTGTACTTCCTGTACAATGGGCTCCAGCTATTCTTCTGTTTTGGAGCCAGCAGATGGCAGAGCTCTGAGCAGAACTGCTTTTGGAGTGAGTTCCTTAGGACGTTCCGGCCGTGCTTCACTTCATCCCCTTTGACATGAGTTTTAGGAAGAAGTCGCCAATGACAGCTGAAGGGAGATGTTGAGCCACTCCCCATATTAAAAACCACTTATTTAAACCTTCATATAGCTACTTATATGCCAACTATAAGATATACAGTCAACTCTCCATTATTCATGCAAATGGAGGGCACTAGAAGTACAGATCATTAAAACCTCATTTATTTTTTTTACTTTGAGGTTATTTTTATACTTACTTTTTAATGTGGATATATTGCCTGTCCTGGAAATTCACAGCACTTTAAAGCAAGTAATGAATCCATTCTAAGAAGATTTAACTTAGGAAGAATTGAAAAACTGCCCCTTTCCCTGTCCTTCCCATTCCAGGTACCCACCCTCCTACTATATCTATTTCCTCCCTCCATCCTAGGGATGAGATGACTTCTGCTACAAATTACTTGCCCAAGCCAAGCTGCACTCTCTCCCCCCTTAGCTGGATTCTCACACCTCCCCTGAAAAGCGAGGAGAATATGGAATAATGCAAGAAGGAAACATAATGATCTAACTTTTAAAGGGGCATTTCTGGGAGAGATGATCCTCAGGAGCCTCCCTAATGAGAATATCATCAGACAGTTTGGTGGAGTGAAGTGAGTGGGGTGGACAGCCGCTGTCTTTAAAAAGCAGCCACACCTGCTGCTACCACGCACTGCGTGGTCCTTGGAGTTCGCAGAACCACAGGTGTCAGTGGCATTGGCCATGCACATGGGTGTGATGACGCAGACCAATTTTCCTTGCCTTCAATCTTTATAGCCAAGAATGGCGTACAGTCTCTCTAGACTGAGCTAATAATATCTCTTACCCAGCCCCACAGCCATGTCTTCACTCACCCTGTATGTAGAGAGGTCAATTCTCAGGGAGTTGTGGAGCTGGTCCAGTAGTTTCACAAATCTCTCTTTCTGACAGTGGGAAACAAATAAAGAGAAGAGAAATAATCTGCTTCTGAGCTCCTAAAACTATAAAGAAACTGAACCACCTCTGGGTGAGGAGGAGGCATTGGTTGGGGACACATCATATCCATCTCTCCTCATGAGGAAAATAACAACATGTAAGGGAGAAATAAAATTGTTCCATCTCTGTTCCATCTCTTAGCAGCTCTGTCTCAAACTGGGCAATCTTTTCACACTGGCAAGGGAAGAGGCGATCCCTGGGAGGGAAAACTGCTCTTTCTGTACAAGAGTCAATAGGAGATGACCAGAGAGTGCACCTCCATCCCTTTGAAACTCTAACTCATCTTAGTCAAATAAAGGGAAACTCCAAACATTCTCCAACTTGTTCCTTAGTCTGTGGTCTCCTGACTTATCTTGGGGTAGCTCAGGCGAGTTAGTCACAACCCAGCAGTAACAATGGGAGGGAGAAAGAGTGATGTATTTGGAAGGTGAGCAGGTAGTCTTGAGTGGCTTTCTCTTTAAACCACATCTACATCATTTTCCTCAGTTTATATAACATATACTAATTTAATAGTTGATTTTTATAGGAAAGGTATAATTAAATGTGGAATCACATGCCTATATGCTGTGTGGCATAGCACTCCTAGAATGCACATATTGATTATATTATACTAGAGGCCTGATGCACGAAATTCATGCAAGGAAGTCGGCCCTTGCAGCCCCAGCTGCCGCCACCCTCTACAGGGCAATCGATCTTGGCCCCACCTGCCTCCCACTGGTCGTTCCTAAAGGTCATTCTGGAAGGTCGTACTGCTGGCCTAATTAGCATACTAGCTCTTTATTATATAGGATTAGAGGCCCAGTGCACAAATTCATGCACATTGAAAAGAAATTAATTAGAAGAAATATTTTAATATTGCTATTCGCCCTTTCTCTATACTAGTAATAGAAGTGTCAAATAAATTCACAATTGACAATGACAGATCGAAACACGTGAGAAAACCTGAAGTCATTTTCAAGGTCCACCATTTCTTACTTCTTTTCAGTTGGGTCAAGTTTCTAAACTTTCTAAATCTCTGCTTTCCGGCTAACGAAAAGAAAACAGGATTCTACCGAGTCTTCTATCTACCTATTCCAGGACTTCTGTGAGGATCAAATAAGATGAGGCATGGGAAAACACTTCACAGGCATTTGGTTAAAGTGTAAAATGTTTGCACCTGGCTATAAAGCAAGACGTGTTCCTGGGCTGAAGAAACTCCAAGGAGGCTGGTCACTAAGGAGAGGAAGCCAGGTATTGTTATGTGATGTCATTACCCGGCGCCCACAGCCACTGTTTTGGGCTGGGCTGGGCTATGGGCCGCATTTTGTGCCATGGGGTCTTAGCAGCATTGGCTTGCAATTTGGTGGGCTGACTCTCTGGGGTGGTGGCGGGGCCTGTGTCCCACTTGGGGGAAGCCCATTGTTGCTTTGTCAACGCCAGGTCCATGGTGCCGTTTCTTTGTAAATGGCCAGTGCACGTCACGGCAGCTCCTATGTTGAGCGTCTGCCCCCGGTGGTCAGTGTGCATCATAGTGACTGGTCGGAGGAACACTTAGCATATTAGCCTTTTATATATATAGATATCTTTGAATATTAAGTCAATATATAATGGGATATAACAGAATGAAACAAAGGCTTAATCAATGATATTTATTCATCTATAGAAAGACTCTCTTTAATAACAAGAAAAAGTTGTTAGGTCCATAAATAGACCTAGTGGATTTGGGGGTATCAGTGATTTTATGCCTAAAGAGGTCATTTTTGTGCTGGGTCAAAGATATTTCATCTAGTTTATATAGAAGTTATGAAAGGGCA